CTTCTCTGACATGGTTAGCTAGTGCAGCGTGGAGTAGCTTCAGCATAAAAACAAACGCGACATCATAATGCGAGCAAATGAGAGCCTGGTGACTAAGGCACTGGCTGGGAATATTGTCTTCAAATATTTGCTGGAGGCCAGGCTGAAATTCAAGCCCTTATCTCCCAAAGCTCAATAAAGTGTGTCTGCCATCAGTTTACTCACCGCGTTATAGCATCTGTCTTTCTTACTCTCCCCTGGAGTGCTTCTCCGTTACGTTTTATAGTGCCAGACAGAGCCTTGGACTGACTGATTCCATAACACAACTTAGCATTTCTCCAGCTCGTGGTGAAACTCTGTGGTTCAGGATGACCATATAAAATATGTGGGATTGTAAATGACTCCGGCAAAAATATCAAGAAAGCATCATTGCATTGAGAAAAGGCGCAAAGTTAGATCTCCTCTGCCAAAAAGGGAAGACAAAGGTAGGAATAAACCTCACTCCTGCACATTCCTCCAATCAAGGGAATGGCATTAGACACTTGGGCACAAAAGTTTGATAGTCAGTCCCTTCCTCAGCCTCGCTGGGAAGTTAATATGAAAGGAAGAGCCACATTAGAACTCCTGGAAGGACTTGTTCCACTATAAACCCCTCCAACTTTTCTTTTTCTGCATCATTTTCCTTGAATATCTCTATCATACACTCTTGGCATTCTGAATATAAATTCAGGAAACACAGGAATGGAGATTCATATTCTCTGTCTCAAACAGAAAAGTTTAACATTTGGTTGTTGCTATGACCTGGCTGGCAAAGGTTAGTCTTGGTGGACTTATGCAGGGGACATCCTGACACAGGGGACATCCTGACACAGGGGACATCCTGACACAGGGGACATCCTGACACAGGGGACATCCTGACACAGGGGACATCCTGACACAGGGGACATCCTGACACAGGGGACATCCTGACACAGGGGACATCCTGACACAGGGGACATCCTGACACAGGGGACATCCTGACACAGGGGACATCCTGAACTGCAGCCACTTAAATATCTATCCTGAGTTCTCCTCCATTGCAAAACATCCCGTACATCTTTGCTGTGCGTTTTTGGACACGCATTCTACAAGGGTACAAAAGTAATTGGAATGACTGAGGAGCAAACATCTCAGCAAGCAATGCTCTTAATCAGACAACACATTCTGAAAATGCAACTCATTATCACAGGCAAATCTAGTTTATGTCATGCTATGGGTGACTTGATTGCCTGTAATCTGGGCTAAAAAAAAATAAATAAGATTGTTTAAATGCAGCTTCAGGGAGTGCTACATATTTTATCTCGGTTTCATCTGGTTTCCCATAATATCAAAGCTGTGTTTAGTGGATAGAGATTTACGACCAGAAAATGATATGTATAGCTGAAGAATGTGAAGGGATGATGTGCCTTGTAGAATTAGTTATCATTGCTGGGGAAGCAGAGCTGGTTTACAGCTTGCGTTTTCCCCCTCCATCTGGGACTGATTTGTGTCTTTGTGTTGTATATAGGAAATGTTCTCTGCGATTCCCTGAACATAAAGCCTGTGTTTCAGGCACTGGGGTGTAGGAGATTTGGAAAACCTTGACTCATGCATAGACAGTTATTAGCATGTACGTTTTTACAAGTATGTTTTCTTTATCTTGTATTTTTTAAAAAAATATACATATTTATACATAGATTGGCTCAGCTACTGCCAACAATGGGACAATTATGAACACATTTCCCCTCCTGTTAGCCAAGGCAACATACACACTACATCGTGTTGTTTTTGTTCTGTATTTTAATACTGGATGCTGCGCAGCAATAGAAATGTCTTTGTTGAGAGCAGGAGTTATTCCAGTGAATGTCTAGTGACTAGGAGACAGACACAAGGCTACGGAGGCATTTCTGTTTCCAGCTTTCTGTGATTGATAGCTGGGATATCAAATGGATGGTGGTTTTGGAAGAAAGATCAAGGCAACCGATGGCATCAGGCATTCGCAAGAGGGTTTTTCGTATAGCTGGCTGGCAGCTGCTCTTTTGGGGTTTTAAATGGACTTGCCAGTTGTTGTCTGAGCTACATGTAACAAAAAAGTTATTTTTTTGATGTGCTGCTGTCATTTGCCTTAGGTAAGTGAATGTTTTGGCTTATTTTTCAGTTTCAAAAATTTCATCTTTATTTAGGATGGGGCTCTAGAGTGGGATCAAAGGCTGAGTTCTGTCACTTTTGTTGGCAATCTTTAATGTCAGATTTGTCTTTTATTACGTTTTATTACTTTTACCGTTCTTAAAAACAGAGTTGCAAGTTTGCAATTAGATGTATATCTTAAAGCATCTTTTACATGACACTCAGCCTAAAAGCCAAAAGTAAAACATACACTAGATATGGTATGTGGGAGCACTCATTAGCACCATTCAGGATCAGGGAACTCTTTCTTTTTTTAAAAAAAAAAAAGCTATTTGAGGAACTGAAAGAAAACTGCAAGTAGGCTTCTTGCTGACAAGTTGCAGGTGTATACCACATGCCCATGTTGGAAAAAAGATGCGGTTATGAAGGTCTTGATGACAGACAAGGGTCTAAAATGCCTTTATCTCCAGGTTTTGGCTAGTTCATGTGGTTTTTATTTGCATTTCCCCCAGCTAGCTTTGTTAGTATTTTCCAAACTCCATATATAACCATGCGCAGGTCTATATGAAATCATTTCTTATTTTATAGAAGAGGAGGCTGAGGGGAGACCTTATCGCGCTCTATAACTACCTGAAGGGGGGTGTAGAGAGGTGGGGGTCGGTCTCGTCTCCCAAGTCACAGGAGACAGAACAAGGGGAAATGGCCTCAAGTTGCACCAGGGGAGGTTTAGATTGGATATTAGGAAACATTTCTTCATGGAAAGGGTTATCCAGCATTGGAATTGGCTGCCCAGGGAAGTGGTTGAGGCACCATCCCTGGAGGTGTTCAAAAGGGTTAACATGGTCCTCAGGAATATGGTTTAGTGATTTTTTTATTGCTTATTTTTTATTTATCTTTTTGTCAGGGTTAGGTTGATGGTTGGACTAGATGATCTTTAAGGTCCCTTCCAACCCAGACGATTCTCTAATTCTATGATTCTATGATTTGTCTGCACTGTAAGATCCTTAGTGTAGTAAGGTCTCGTTTAAGTCAGGGAAGCCTTACTTTTATGGTAACTATATCATAAATTGTAAATCAGTGTTCGTGTTTCTTGCTGGAAAAATGAGGGAAAAGTGGGAAATAAGGGACAGCACTTTAGTTCTGCTTTGCTAGAATAGGCAGAATCCACTTGTGCCTTAAGAGTACCAAACAGGTAAGTGCTTACTACTCCTAGCTAAAAGATGTGGCTGCCTTTGATGTTCATCCTCTCAAGGATGAACTCAAGAGGAAATGTTTATTCTTAAAGGAGACAGACTTACACGTATGTCAGGTTACTCCAAATAGCTGCACTCTGGAATAATTCTTCAAAGATGCATTTTCAGAGGGCAGAAGTAATGGGGCAGCAGCCCTTGGGAAATAGCCAGCCAGCATTTTTGGTACTGTGAAGTAAATTTTGACACAGAAACCAACTAATGAAATCACATGGGGTCCCCCTCCCACTAAGGGCACTAGAGAAACTTGCTTTATTATCAGACCTCTTGTTTCTTCTGCGATTCTCAACAGAATTGAACAAAGAGAAACAAGAAGTTCTCCATCTAAAAGAAATAACAATTTTCAGAGCAATTTCTCAACTGTCTCCAAGTCTTTTCTTTTCTGAGAACAGTATAATCAAGCCTTGATTTAAAACATTATTAGAAAAGTAATCAGCCTACATTGAAAATTAGTCAGTTGAGCTTTTTGTTTGTGGTGATTAGTTAATTGCAAGAGTAATTTCGAAAACAGTAAAAGCAATACTTCAATTGACTTAAAATGCCTGGAGAAAATTAGTTGAGGAAGTGTAAACATTGTTTTCCAGAAAGTCCCCAAAATTTATTTGCATCTTTTTATCTAAACAAATTCCTCAAGTATAATTGTGAAGAATGGAAAAAATTTATGATTAATTTAATAGGCAGTAAAATTAGACGCATAGTTGTAGCTGTGTGGGAGTCAACAGAAAAGATCCTGGAATGTGGCAGTGTGTGTTGTTATGTCTCCTTAAAGCCTCATGTCTTTTCCTTTTGTAGGAATAAACTTTTCTGTCTCGCTCTTTATGGGAGAATACAGTGCTTTCTCACCTTTTTTTTTTTAAGTCTGTTTTCCTGTGAGATAACAGTGGTTTTGATGAATATAGGAGAACTGTATGTGCTGTTTGCAAAGAATTATAGGTGCATGACATTTTGTGCTGTATAATATATGCCATGCTGCATGCCATAGGGTGTTGTTTAGCAGGGGGTAAGTCTAAGGTATATACTAAGCCCATAAGTGAAGTAAAGGGTTATGGAAGTGAAACGTGACCAGTGATGTTTGTTCCCTTCCAAGAAGTCCAACTGGTGTGGGCCGGTGGGGAGTGGTGTTGTACCAATGTGGTGTAGATGTTCACAGTGAACTTATCCATCGACGTGTTTGACAGCTGTCAAAGGAAAACGACTCCTTGGAGTTTTAATTAACATGTTACCTATTGCAGGGTGTGTTTCAGGGCTTTTATTGACTGTTTTATGGCTCTGTTTATTCTTCACTGTGGAGTTTTAAGCTCTTGCCTTTGAATCAGAGGCCTGAACCCACAAAATTATGACTTCTCTTGTGCCAACAGATGTTTGAGGCAAGAAAAGATGAAAACACCAGGGAGCTGGTTGTATCTCCCTGATTCTTTAGGCAGATACATCTTCAACAGCAGCATGAGCTTAAAAATTGCTGTATTGCTGTAGTGAAGCATCTCTAACCGCATCTCCTAGCCCCATGGAATGGTATCTCAAGTGTTGGTTTCTTTGTTTGGGGGGTTTGGTGGTGGTGTTTGGGGTTGGTTTGTTTTTTTTTTTAATATATATTATTTTTTTTTCACTGTAACTTTTACGCCCCAGGCCTATCCTTGTACCAACGATAAGGAGTGCGAGGTGGGGCGATACTGCCACAGCCCTCACCAGGCAGCGTCTGGGTGCATGATGTGCCGCAGGAAGAAGAAGCGTTGCCACAGAGACGGCATGTGCTGCCCCGGGAACCGCTGCAACAATGGTATTCACTCATTTCTTGGTTTTCCTCCATAAAATCAGCATTTTGATAACATCTGTTTCTCTCTGTGTTCCAGCAGCAGTATTTTTTTCCTGGGTGACTGTACTTCTTTTTCTATACCGAGAAAACTTCGTTTTCTACTTCATTTCACTCTACTTAATTTTCTTTAATAGCATTTCTGTGTTTAAGGCTTGTGCACCTCCAGGTTTTTTCCTCTTTTGGGGTGGGGAAACCCAAAAATGCTGCTGTTGCTGCCTGGAATCACAGCACTACATTCAAAATGGTTTGATTCACTGGAAAGCTGCACAGAACTTGTATTTTTAAGGAAGCAAGAGACTTAATGAATCCTTGAATCTTATAACTGTCGTGTTTGTATTCCCATACTCTCCTCTGGAGTCTGGAGAGAGATGTCCACGGGGCAGTCTCCTGGTACTCAGACCATAAAACCAGAGCAACAGTCTGAGTGAAGCAGAGCAGGGATTATGGACAGAGGTGTGATTAGAGCTGAGCATCATTGAGGCCAAGCCCCAACACTTTCCTGGTCCTGGTCCTGGTCCTGGTCCTGGTCTCTGTGTGTCTCTTGGCTGCTTTTCCTTTTCATTCAGCTCTTTGTATTGTCTTTTCAGGCATTTGCATACCCGTAACTGAGAGCATCCTCACTCCTCACATCCCTGCTCTGGAAGGGCCGCGCAACAAGAAGAACGGTCATTACGCCAGCAAGGATTTGGGGTGGCAGAACATCGGGAGGCCACGCTCCAAGCTGTCACACATAAAAGGTAAGGTCACAGCTGCGTCACGATGCTTTGCTCCTGCAGGTTATGGATCGTGGTATGTGCTGTTCAGGTCCAGCACTGCAAACCAGAAACAGCTTTGCTCCTGCAGGTTATGGATCGTGGTACGTGCTGTTCAGGTCCAGCAGTGCACACCAGAAACAGCCAGTCATTTCACAGGCAGTGAATGTCTTATGGTGAGAATTCACAGCGTGACTCAAACAGGGATGTGACATTAACCAACAGCTCCTGGGATTGAAATAGCATCTGCTTTATTCTCTGTATCACAGGTGGACTGACAATCTATTTTTCAGTTGTACAAGATTGCATATATCCTCCCTTTTTAAGGGTCATGTAATTAAGCACTTGCAATTCTGCTTACAATCCTGTAGCTGAATTTCTCCTTACTGACTCTTATGGCAGGTCTCATTAATTACCCCCTTGAACCTCTCTAATTCATATATTCCCTTGTGTTTACATCCTTCTAATAGCCGCAGATGGAAATATCATCTCTCCTTATTTCTGAGCTTCATTTGCAACAGTCTGCACTGACTCTGTACTGTCACCTTTTCCCGTGAGGTAAAACAGTTTGGTTGCTCTTTTTAGGACACGAAGGTGATCCCTGCCTACGGTCCTCAGACTGTATTGAGGGACACTGCTGTGCTCGCCATTTCTGGACCAAAATTTGCAAGCCCGTGTTGCACCAGGGGGAGGTGTGCACCAAACAGCGCAAGAAAGGCTCCCACGGACTGGAGATTTTCCAACGCTGTGACTGTGCCAAGGGGCTGTCCTGCAAAGTATGGAAAGATGCGACCTCCTCTTCTAAGTCAAGACTTCACGTGTGCCAGAAAATCTGAACGAGGGTTGGCAAGACAGTGACACGTGACTGTGGCTTTCTGTATTTAATGCGTTATGGCATGGAAACGAGGACTGCAAACGACAGCAGAATGGCTAAACTAACAGTTAGGGTAGGAGTAGAAGTCGCACCAAACGCCTTTCTTTTTGAGCTGGTGGTAAACACAAGTGCAGCTGGGTTATTCCTACTGTGCAGCTCTTCTGTAAATAACTTCTACAGTCTGCAGGAAATGCTAGTATGCAAACAAGTACAGTGGAAATTAATGTCACTTACCTTGCTGTGTTGTCCCATGATGTTTCAGGGTTCAGTGGTAGGGCTGCAGCGGGTTTCCAGCATGGTAATGACTGCTAATTAAATTGTATACGTTGTACTCCTATAGGAAGCGCCGCATGCCAGGAAGACTCATCTGTCAACACTTTATTGGTCACATTGCAGGTGTGAGAAATGAAAAGATAGTTACTGTGAATGTCCACACGCCCCTGTGATGCAGGGCTGACACTCCAGCAGAGGAAGCACTCCTGCAGGACAAGAGTGCTGTGTTTCGCAGGCCCTCGTGAAGGAGGTGAAAACTTACCATCTCACAATCTCAAAAGAGCAGCAGTTTCTCTAAGAGGAGGCATTTAAAGAGGGTTTTGTTTCCAATACATAGGTAAATTGACATACTTTATGTAGTTCAACATCATAGTACGGCACTTAATCGCTTGTATTTGCCTCAGTTTACTGCTAGTGTATGTTGGGTTGAACAGATGAAGCAAATATGTGCATGCTGAATCCAGAATTATATACAGGCAGTTGCTCATTAGTCCTAAATATACTTTCTTTGCCTAAGTATACTTGCATTATAGACATTTCCAGAAGAAACAGCAGAGTGTTGAAGTGCCTAACGTGAGGAGCGATGAAGTTGCATCGCTGTTGCTGTTATGACAGGTGATGTAGACATTTGTTGAGGTGTTAGAGCACACTGCTACAAACTCAAACTTTGACATTCTATTCGTAGCAACGGGCTAGTGATGGCACTCTGCAGAAGTAGAACAGATTTGTTTCTTAGAGGCAGCAAAGAAAAAAGGAGTTGGCTCTTGTGAGCGCCTCCTCCTGCAGAAAAGGATGTCAGAAGATGGTACGACTGCAAACAACTTGTTAAACATCATGGGATGTCCCAGCACACCAGCCTCCAGCATGTATTCAGCCTGAACTTGATGTCCTCTCAGTCTGGACTGTTCTACCAGGAATGATGGAAGTACATGGACTGTGGAAGCAGCTGACAACTCTACGTTGTTTGTGTGCTGGTTAAAACAAAGGACAGTCTCTCTATCCCTTGACTTGTCTCCCTGGGCTTTTCAAACTTTTTTCATTTTATTTGCAAGTATTCCTTTGTATAAACATTGGTAAAGAGACTGATATTTCTTTAAAGAAGTCTGATTCTATAATTGACCTACTGCTAAGTTGTAATTACCCATTCATAATTACCTGTTTTTGTGTTTTGTAATACAAGGGACTTTCCTGTTTAATCAGTTCTGAACAACTTGGGTAGACCAGTATGCAGTTTAACTTTGAAGACCATGTCACCCAGACTTAAGACACGGCTTAGCTACACCACCTGACTCAGACTTTCTAATTAGAATGCAGACCTTAACGACGTTGCCTTTATCTTTCATAAGAGTCTAACTAAGAAGAGCATTTCACACACCTCTCTCCCTACGACAGTTAGTTTTTATTGACCACCTTAACGACGTTGCCTTTATCTTTCATAACTGTCTAAATAAGAAGAGCATTTCACACACCTTTCCCCCTACTGCAGTTAGTTTTTATTGACCTTAGAGGGACTGCTCAGAGACAGGGTCTTCTGTTTTTTTAACAATCTATCTCAGTGGAGTTTTATCTTGCAGTCCTATCATTACAACTCTGCTTATTTCAGAGTTTTTCCACTGAAACTGAAACAGGAATTAGGCTCAGAAATAGCATATTTCAAGACATTAAAAAAGTACAGGAACCAATTTTGCAAGTGTTATTATTTACACTGACACCACACGCACCCAGCAGAGAAACTCTATGGCTCTCATTGCAGCTACAGATAGGAGAAAATGATACCCAGCATTTTCTAGCTCTTCTTATCATTGGTCTACCCCTTTTTCCTCTTACAAAACATAGTTATTTGGGATAATTTATTTACAGGAAATGTTTAAGGAGATGTATTTTCTTATAGAGATATTTCTTACACAAAGCTTTGTAGCAGAATATGTTTGCAGCCTGTTGACTTTAATGTAGAAAAATGTATAATAAGATTAAATATATTAAATGTTCTTTCCCATTCCTCCCCAAGTATTTCACCTATATTCTTTTCCTTACTTCTTTCCCATTCCTCCCCAAGTATTTCACCCATATTTTTTTCCTTACCTGCTGCTTATGAAGAGTAGTTCTTTCTGGAAAGATATGCAAATCTATTGAAAAAAAAAAAACATATGTTTTAGCTGTGCAAGAAAAAGCATCTGATTGTACTTGTGTCTCAAAGCACTATGTAGGCTGAGTTTTGGTAAAACATCTTAAAATCCCCACATGTCATTTCTACAAAATTGGGTGAAGTGGCGACTGAAGTGTGTTTCTGTTGGGACATCTTACACCGAAACATTCAAGAGTAAGTTTTGAAAATAATGTTCCTGGATGCACAATTTTCAATCAACCAGGTTAAACAGGAAAGGTGCGCAGGCACGTCCCCTGGGCGGTGATACATCCCAGAGAGGCTCAGGGTGGGTGCAGCTGGTGTTCAAGTGACCCAGCATTTTGCTGTAGGTTACAGCGTGCAAATGCACTCGTGCAAGATCTAGAACTAGCAATTCTAAAACAGCCAGATAAGAGCATTCAGCTCCAGTCAAATGAGACACTCCATATCCCACAACTGAAAATATTGCTACTAAACCCAGCCAAGTTCTGATCCCGGGACCCCCCCCCTACCCTGAGCTCAATAAATATTGCAAAATAATGGCTGTGGTTATTGAGCAATGGTCTCAACATCCTTCTTACTTGTCTCTGGTAACCCTTTGCTCAAACAGATGTACATCTGGAGGACGGAACGGTCTCCAAGTCGCACTAGTGTTTGTACAAAACGAAAAGGTTTTGCTACTGTTCTTTGCAATATTTGGTGGGTGGGCCTTTGAAAAAAAAAATTCTAATACTTTTAACACCGCCGTAATAAAAAGTTGTGAGCATCTTCAGAGCCCAGTGACTTCAACAGAGCTTGGGACTGCCCCGGCCTTCAGAGATTTAATCTGGGAACAGAAACAATAGGCGCAGGCGGTTTGTCGCACACCACAAATAGCGAGCAGCATCGCTGAACTGAACAGCATGCGAGCAGTTTCGCAAGAGCAAAGTCTGATTGTTTAGAAGCCATTCAGTTAATATTTTGGGGAAATATACATCAGCTGGAGAATGAAAGGACAGCTATATTTGGGGATAATTGCTCTCACTCACTGTCACTCGTCACGAAAATTAGGAGTGACTTTGGCTCAGTAACATCACAGAAATCTGCTGCCATGACACAAATACTGAAGAGATTATTGCTGAACAATTCGAATACTCTTCCTATTAGCCTAGAATAGCCTCAGCAACGGAACATCTCTTTGGAAATACTCATTAACTTTCCTAAAAAATAATGGATTTCTTCTCTGTAACAGCGTATATTTGATTTACAGTATAAATGTGGGTATGTATCTATTACTGTACTACGTGCTTTGTCTTATGTTGTTTGCCACCTATAGTATTTATGATTTTAAACATTTTTTAATGAAATCAATTAAAATAGTTTTATGCACTTACTCGTATAACAACACTTTCAACCGCATACATACAGCACCTGACACCTAAACCACAACTACCAGAATTCCAGCCACTGTCTGCGTATCCTGACTTTACCGCTCATTGTCTTGACAACAGCCAAAAAACCCTCCCAAACACCCTGAGCTGTTTTGGGCAGAGGCTGAGAAGAGACATTTCCTAAACTATTCCTTGTCACCAGCCTGCCAGCTGCTTCAGAGCATCATCACCTTCCATAGGAAAGGTAAATGCTAGCAAAGAAAATTTGCATTTTTTCATCTTTAGTTTGCTTTCACAGAATCACAGCATCATCTAGGCTGGAAGAGACCCTCAGGATCATCGAGTCCGACCATCTACCCTACTCTAAAGTTCTCCCCTACACCATATCCCCCAACACCACATCTAAATGGTTCTTAAACACAGCCAGGGATGGTGACTCCACTTCCCTGTGCAGCCTGTTCCAATGCCCGACCACTCTCTCTGTGAAGAATTGTTTCCTAATGTCCAGTCTAAGGAAATAGAGTTTAGGAAATCCATTTACAAAAAGGCATCCTGAAGGTCAAAGCCAGCAGAACCTCATCTAGGAGACAGATACTCTCAGCCAAGGCTTTTAGGAGTCTTGAGCTATTGGCTCTTTCCAAAACTTCATTGCTAAGAGATTTACACAGACAGTAAAACCGCATTTACCAAAAAACTGAAGAAAGCTAACTCTTTGGATTGACAGTCGAGTGGTCTGAAATGTAACTGTCCACGCTGGGGGGAAAAATGACAACACACAACAGACAAAAACAACAGCCCCAAAAACACCCTCACCTGTAGTCCCTGACAAAGGGAATGCTGTTAATTTTTTGCCCCAGGCACAGTTTCAGTCCACGCAAAACCATCATTAATTTTTGTTTATAAAATCACACTAATAATAGAGTTATGCTTTCTTACCTCATCACCCTGAGGTATGGCATCTTTCCCGGGCAGCATCAGGCAGCAGTGATGGAACAGCGTTGGTCCAGAGGTCTCAGCTCCTGCATTTAGATCCTAATGTGTCACTGAGAAGAAGAGAAACTTTCTGCTCAGGTGCTTTACAATCCAGTATGATTTTTTTTTTTTTAACATGCCCACTGCTAGCAATGATTGCTCACAGTTCAACCACACCCTACGCCCTTTCTTACCTCATGTTTTATCTTGGACCGTTCCCAGGTGCTAAAAACGTGGCAGATGTCTGCTGTGGCCCTCTCTGCCAGCTTTTTACAGACCCACCTAAGGCAGAGATGCAGGAGCTGAGGAGAAAGCACAGAGAGCGATAGGGTGGACTGGAGGGAGCCAGCCAGAAGCTTGAAATGGCTGGGAGAGGGGGAAATAGTCCTCAAAATATCCATAGAATCATAGAATGGTTAGAGTTGGAAGGGACCTTAAAGATCATGGAGTTCCAACCCCCCTGCCCTGGGCAGGGACACCTCCCACCAGACCAAGTTGCTCCAAGCCCCATCCAGCCTGGCCTTGAACACCTCCAGGGATGGGGCAGCCACAGCTTCTCTGGGCAACCTTATTGTTAGAAGCTGTTGCCAACAGCCATGAACGTTGATCGTATCCCACCCAGTTACCAAGGATGGAGGACAGGAGAACGTGCCCTGTGTGTCACGGAGCCGCATCCCCACAGCGCTGACCCAAAGAGGGGAGGCCTGACTGAGTGATTGGGGTTCCTCAAAAGCTGAAGTGTTGAGCCTGCATCCCCCCCCACCCCAGCAGCAGCACGCCTCTCACCTTGATCCTCTTGAGTATCCCTATCCCAGGAATTCCACCGGCTTTGGATTTGTCACCGACCCTCAGAGGCATCATTCAGACAGCATTGGTGGAGCTCGCAGCCTGGTCCTGCCCGGGGATCCCGCTGGAAGGCTGCGGGGATGGAAGGAAGGAAGGAAGGAAAGGAAGGAAAGGAAGGAAGAGACAAAAGCAGGAGACCAGCTGCTGCGTTGCAGAACTCCAGCTGGTCCCCGAGTTATTATTTTGACCACCACTGATGGGCCTGACCCCGATGGATATACAGCATTGAATGGAGCTCATTGAAAACTTGTTTATTCTGGCAGCTCCCTGTTTTTGTTGGAATTGCTTATTGTTATAGTATGAGTGTCAATTACTTATTTACAAATGTCTGGTACCAATAAACTCTTTGTTTCTTACAGTACCGGCTTGCAGCTTGATTTAGAAGTGGTTTGCTGCATGCCAACTTCCTGAAGCAGAGGAAATAATCTTTTAGTGGAAATTAACGTTTTAAGAAGCACAAGGTGGTTTGGTTTTGGGTTGGTGGTTTTTTTTTTTTTTTTTTTAAGGAAAAACCTATTTAGAAAAAGAGGAGGAAAAATACATAATTAACGCAAAAAGATTTCCTGACACAAATCTTAGTCTTTGAGTCCTCAGCAAAACTCATATTTTAATTCTCCACTGCTGGTATCAAAGCTTGCCAAAGAATAGCCAACAAATCAGAAAAGTATTCCTGTATGGCTGCTACAGCATGTATATTCCTGTTTTCTATTCCTTATAAGCTCTTTGTTATTTCTGAGAGTATGCTATTCATCAATATTCACTCAATAGGCTTACAAACTGTTTTTTAAAAAAATCAACTATTAATCAAAAATTCAATAATTCAGTACAATTGTAAGCACAGGGCTCAGAGATATTGTTTCTTAATGACAGTAATTTTTAATGGAGCCATCAAGGTACATACAAAGTAATGAATACATGGTTCTGGAAGAAATTTGCCAGAAATTTTAGAATGCATCACATTAATGAATCAAATGACCACCCAAAGCTTTAGAAAAATCCACCTCAAAATTATTTGGGCAATGTCTTTTCCTCACTATCTGAGCAGTTATGGATATCGTAGCAACACTTCTTTAGGAGAGCAGATAACAA